AGTCAATCACTAGAGCGGTAAATGTTATTAATTACCGAAAATGATGGGCTGTGGGCTGATGGCATCACAAGAACACTCGGTCTAAATCTAATTTTCTCTTATTGTCAGTGAAACATACTAGGTCTCTTATGCTCACCAATGATGCCTTTATTGGATTAAAAATACAGCAAAAGCAGTATTAGTGACATATTACAATTTAAAATAACGGTTTTCTATTTTAATGTATTTTAAAATGTAATTTATTACTGTGATGGTAAAGCTGAATTTTCAGCAGTCTTCAGTGTCACATGATCCTTCATAAATCATTCTAATATGCTGATTTGCTGCTCAAGAAACATTTTTATTATTATCCATGTTTTGTCACAGTTTCGCGGATTAATATTTTTGTGGAAACTGAGATGTTTTTCAGGATTCTGTGAGGAATAGAAAGCATTTGGATATGGAAACATAACTGTATTTACTGTTTTGATCAAAAAGTGGGCATGTTGTATTCAGTTAGAAAAGATTGTATTACACTTTTAATTGAGAATTAATTAGATTGTGAAACGTGGGCATTACATACTAGGAAAGAGAAGAGCATTGCAAAAATAAGTGGGCTTGGTGAAATCACTGAAAAAGGAAATCATTTCAGAGGTGTAGAAAATCATGAAAGATGTATGACCAAAGAATACAAACAGGAACATTTTTGCAATAAAATGCCCCGATGACTCCTGCACAGTATGACCATTTGTGGCCATTTTTGATTTCATGTTGATTTTAAGCCTCAGCCTAAATTTTCAGGTCAGCCATACTGAAATATCCTTGAGTGTGAGTTTTAATGAAGTGTTCCCAAAAAAAAAGGGAAAATTATACAATGCAAGAACATCAGCACTCTCAGACATCAAAAAACCCGAGCTGCATTCTGCACAACTCACAATTAATTACATGTTATCTCATCAAACTTTGAGAGACAATGGAGCCTGCATTCATTAGCTGACGATGATGAACTAATAGTGGCGTGACTGCGAGAGAGGAAGTGAATTTCCATAGTCCCATACCAGCACCAGGGCCACAGCAAAATGTGCAATTAGCCCGCAGGAATTGTGAACACACTGTGTGTGATCAGCCGTTTGGGTGAGTGGAGTGTCAACACCTCCAGATGAAATGTGACACACTGATTAATGGCACAGCAGCTGAGACTGCCACTGAGCTCATGAGATAGATGGGCCGGAGTTTAGTGTGACTTCAGACCACTGCATGTGACAGATTAATGCTCATCCTTCTCTGGGATCTTGGTTTAATGCATCAAGTTAGGCAAGCTCTTCAAAACACATAGATTGACAAATTAACATTTCACCAGAACAAGTAATGTTGCAGCATGATGATCTATGTTTGTCTAGGTAACCTGTTAGAAACACTGCCATTCCATTTCATCTTACCTGTCTGGTCATGATCAAAGATATAAAGAAAGACTATCCATTATATCTAACTAGATTATCTATCAGCTTAACATGTTGAAATGACAAAACTCCCTCCAAAAGCTTGTTAAAAACATACACTGTACTGTTCAAACGGTTGGGGTCAGTAAGATTTTTTTTTCTTTCTTTTTGATCAAAATTGATACTTTTATTCAGCCAGGACACATTAAATGAGAAGTAAAAAAAGAGAGTAAAGACATTTATAATGTTACAAAACATTTCTATATCAAATAAAAGTTCTGCTCAACAAAAACTCTAAAGAAGTCATTCCACACTTGATTGGGCAGCACAACCATTTTAAAGTAATTATAATAAGAAAAAGAAATGTTTCTTGAGCACCAAATCAGCAAAAAGAAATGTTATTTTGAATTGTAATAATATTTCACAATATCACTGTTTTACCTATATTTTTTATCTAAATAAAAATGAATTAGTGAACTTAAGACCTTTAAAATTAATACTCAATCAATCTTATTGACCCCAAAATTGAATGGTAGTGTACTTTACAGTGGGGGCGATTTTGTCCTGACACTTTACATAGCTCACAATTCAAAGTGTGTGGTGATCTGTTGCTGATATTTGTCATTTTTAATGTTTAGCTGAGTATTTCATTGTGGTTTTCATCTGTGGTGGAAAGCGAGTGGCAATTTCCAATGTATCGCTCCAATTTATTGCTTTTCCACGGCTCACTTTTCATTCTAGTGAAACAAAATGCAATCTATTGTGCAATTTTGGATCATTAAAATAAAAAAAGTCTGAAAAAGGTCTACTGGGGCAGATCAGAACCTCAAAACCCTTTTTTTCAGAGCAAATCCATGACCACTAGACCTACTTGTTAGTCAATTAACTTACTGCTCTGTGCATATATCCACTGACCAACAGAAAGAATCCCACGATTTACTGTAGCAGATGAGATTATAATCAAATGTCTCACAGTCATTTGAGCATTTGAATCGGTCAGCAAGAATCATTTCTCCCTCAAATTACTGTGTAATTTCACTTAATATATTTATGTGCCATTAAAGATGTATCCATTACTTCTTTACCTCGCGTTTGTTGTCCGTTAAGTCCGTGACCGTGAAGTAATGATATAAAACAATGTTAGACCCTGCACTGCCATCTATCGACGTGGACGAGCAAAATCATAAAGTTTTACGTAGGCTAGGCTACCACTAGTGATTTTCAGAGCGGTAATTAACCCTCTTACCTTTCCAACAAAAAAGCAACTCGTGCGTCACTGCTCAGGATTTTCTCTGACATCAACTCTTTGCACCGTCAGTATGCCGTACAGGTAATAATTCTTCAGCTGTAAATAACTTATTTCAAACCTTGCATCAAACTACATGACGACGCTATATGCTACTAGCGTATATACAGGCAGCCAGCATCCAATACCTTAAAGGGGTCATATGATGCTTTTTTAAAGATCATTATTGGATCTTATCTATGCACAATCAGCTTGTAACACTCCAAAGAGAAAGGAAAACTTGAAATCGCATCATATGACCCCTTTAATGAATCAACGTGGTAACGTCATTTCATCATAGTGGACGACCCGCAAAATAAATAAATAAAAAAAACTTTAAATTTAAAAATGATATTGATTTGAAGTGTTCTTTTTGAAATATGTAGACTGAAAATTTGTTTCATTTATTTTGGCATTGCTCTCATGTTTGGCAAAAAGTTTTGACTAGATTTATAAATGACAACATTGACCTCACTTTTTCTTTGTGCTTAGAACATGTTTTATTTGGTTTTACTAATATCTCCTCAAATGAAAGATTTAGCCCACCCCCTGGCTGTAGGTGTATTTTGTATACAAATTTAGTAGGCTATTTTATATATTTTGTTTTGTGTTTTATGTAGATATTTATGTGTAATATTGTAGTCCTAACTGTACTTTGACTGTGTTTACTAAAGTTTAATAAAATAAAAAAAAATAACTTTTTATAGAAAACTACTGAGTAGTCTTAATCTCATTTACACTATTCACACACCTCTTCACCAAAACTCAATTTATTATTTTTTTAATGTATGAAACTAGATTACATCTCACAATTCTGCCTTTATTTTCTCTGAATCCTGAGTTTGTTTCTGCCACAGAATAAAAAGGTAATTGCGTTGTTTTGCTGTTATTGATTTTTTTCACAGTTCTGTCTGTTTTCTCTCAATTGTGAGTTTATATCAAACAGTTCAGCCTTTTCTTGTTGGAATTACAGAATTGTTTATATCTCTGTTACTTGTTATAAACTTACAGTTTCATTTTTTTCCTCAGAATTATGAGATATAATTGTGAGATAAAAAGTTGCAATTGCCTTTTTATTTTATTTTATTTTTATCCCATGGTGGAAATAAGCTTCCATAGAATGCACTTTTAAAGTTAGAAATTAGCAAAGAGATATACTTCGAAAATACTCTATATATACTCTTCTAGACCTGATTCTTACATTTATGAAAACAATTAATTTTTGTATTCATTTTTCATGTCACGGTGCTCTTTGGAATGGGGATCAGTTCAACTTGTAAAAATCAAGGCCAAGCACTCAAGGACAAGTAAAACGTAAAAAGCCTTTATTTTCTCATGGCTATATAAAGTTAAAAACAACACCTTTGACCTCACACATTTTTGTGCAATGAACTGTTCATCAAGTTCATTTTTGTGCACCTAATTAATATTCATGAGCCAGCCCATTTCCATTTCACAACCTGCACATTTGTACTACTTAATTTTAAAATAAAATAAAGACCCATGGTCAAAACATATTGGCTATGCATGAAGAAAACCACATTAAAGTACATTAGAGCACCAGTAAACCAAACAATAGACCAATTTGGAGTAGACGTCACAGTTACGTCACTTGCAGCGCATAGTGGTGGCGGAAAACACTGGGAACAATTGGAGGGAAGCGAGTAAATTCCATGGAATAAGAGAAAAAAATTATTGTTGTGCCTTTGGATGTCAGAATCGGAATGCAAATAATTTTTATATAACACTGTCGTCAAAGATGCCATTTGAAGCTAAACGCAGACGTTTAAACGGAGAGACTATGGATGAAACCTGCTATGATTACCCTATTTTAAAGCATAAATTTGATTTCAACAATAGGTCTATATAATATTCATATAGGGAACATATTGTATTAGCCCTACAGTTGAAATACATGCATGAAATACTATTTAAACCTATAACATTTTACATAACATTTACCTATTTTATCTCACAATTCTGACTTTTTTTCTTGCAAATGCAAGTTTATATCTCCTAGTTCGGACTTTATAACTTTATTCAAGTCAACAATTGCGAGTTTGTCAATTCTGAGAGGAAAAAGCAGAAGTGTGGGATTATAAACTAAAAAGAAAGAATGACGAGTTGATTTTTCTTACCAGAATTGAGAGATATAATCTCGGAATTGCAAGAAAAGTCAGAATTTTGAAATATAAACTCAAAATGAAATTTTGTATTCTTTTATTCCATGGCTTGAATAGACTGCTATGTTAAAACTGTCATTTTCTGCCACCATATAGGCTCCGCCCACAAAAAACCGTCATCACTGTTTGCAAACACTGAAATTGGTCTATAGCTCTCCAATCATTATTTTAATGGCAAATGTAACTTGAAATTTAACACTGAAGCTTTTTATCTATTTCCTTATTTTGAGATCTCAAGAACCAGCAGTAAAACAAGTATATGATCGAATAATATTCTTTCATTTCTTTCAGAAACTTCTGCAAGTGCCCATTTTAGGAGAAGATGAGCCTGTGGGCATGCAGCGGGACACACTTCAGTGGAGGAAAGTCATCACAGCACCCTTTGCTCCTTGTTTTAATTACACACAACAAACAGCATAGATGTTTCCTAATAAGATGGAGTCAGAGAGGGTCTCATTACCAGTTATGAAGAAAAAAAAGGAGGGAGGGAGGCAGAAAGTGGGAGAGCTTTCATAAGCAAAAGAGAGGATTTCTCATGCATACAGAGGAAGTGAGTACAATAAACAGGCAGTAAATCAGTTCCAAAATGAGTTGGCATGAGAAGTGTTGTGCTTAGAGTATTTGTTCAGTGTAGAACCAGGGGTAATACATTTTTAGGAGATCATCTCAGAGTATTGATTGATCAACATCATATTTTCATCTGATTCAAAGGCCATACAGTGGATCCAAAAAGTATTTGGAAACCTAAAGGCACAATTCATCCAAAAAAGAAATTCTGTTATTTATTTTAAAGAAGGTCCCGGCTCTCTCACTCTCTCTTTTTTTTTTTTTTTTGGTCCGTAAAATGCAAGTCAATAAGATTTCGTGTTATTTCGGACCCCACTGACTTTCATAATACACTGTAAAAAAGATTTTCATACTTGAAAAAAAAAAAAAAGATTACTGGAGCACATTTTACAAGGAAAAGCTATTTCAGTCTTTCAACTTCAAAAGGTCACATTTGATTCAATGTGTTACTTGCCATGTCTTTGTAATTGTGAAATTTACTAGCAATTTTTGAGTGAGAAATAGTTTCAAAGTCGGTCCTATACACCAACTTTTTTTCCAGTGTATGGACACATTATCTTGTTTCATTTACAATAATATATTCTATTAACGTTTGACAACTAGAAAACATCCAAATATTTTTATTACATTTTTAAAAGTGAATTAAGTCTCCAAGTACTTGTATTATTCAATATTCGACTAACTGTAATAACAATGTGCTTAAAGATCAAATGCATTCTGCCGTCTAAGTTCTATATATAAGATGCTATAATTGTCATGCAATCACTTATTTTGCTTAATCACTTATATCCAAATACTTAATATTTGGATATTGTTTGCCAGTAAGTACTTTTCAAAGAGCTGCATTCTTGTGATCTGAATCAACACTTGAGACACTGGAGAACAAGTGTGTTCGCTGTGCATCAGCATTATTCTTGTTAATCTTGTTTGATCTTCACATTTGCATTAAGCATCTTCTTACAGCATTACCACTTAGCAGCGATTTATTCTTACCTACAATTAAAGGCCTCTTATTTATCAGGCATGTTTTTCAAAGTCAGTTCATTTTGGACATTTACATAGTCAAATTAATCCCTTGGCAAGTTCGCAACCGTTTTGTGCTGCAGGCGCATATCAGTTACAAATAAGATATAGATGCTAAGAAGTTAGAAGTTGTAGAAAGAGAAAATGGTCTATTTAAAACACTAGTTTAGATCTTGATAGGTGACGCAATGATTTTCTCTGAGCAACTAGCACATCTGTGACAGTTCTCAGCTTTCATTTCACGAGGGAAGAACAGAATCTCACTCTGCAGGTGCGAAGCGTTCGTCTTTATAAAGCATAAGAGCAGCAGCTCTGTGATGCAGATGTCCTGCAGTCTCACAGAGCAACACTGCGCTCTACTGACAGAATGCTGCATTCTAGCTGGGAGACTATATTCACATTCACTACAAATCAGGTATACATATTAGATATTGTGGTGAAAGGTTAAATGGTTGTCAATAACGTGTCCAGGTCATATTTCATCCTTAAAGTAAAATTATAAGGCATATTGTATGAGCATATATAGCCTACCGTTCAAACATTTGAGGTCAGTAAGATTTTGAATGCTATTGAATAACAAATCCCGCACACTATCTGTGCAAAAAATATCAAAATATTTACTGACTAAGTTTCGGTCGCATGACCTTCATCAGGAAAAAAATTCCTGATGAAGGTCATGCGACCGAAACGTAGTCAGTAAATATTTTGATATTTTTTTGATTCTTTTTTTTTTTTTTTCAGGATTCTTTGATGAGTTGAAAATTCAGAATAAAATTTGACAGAAATCTTTTGTTACACTATAAATGTAATTTTTGATCAATTTAACGTGCCCCTTCTGTATTAATTTCTTATATTTAATGGCAATTATGGCAAATCTTATTCTCATTACTGTAATGCAATCAATCAATCAATAGGGAAAATATTCACAATATACATAGTATTTATGGCATATGATAGTATTTGCTGTACTGCCTTTACGCAGATTGAAATTAAACTAGAGAATAATGGGAACAAAATAAAAGAAAAAGTAGTTACATTTAAAATACATTTTCTAGACGCATTACAGTATTGAGAATTTGGAGTGAAAATGTACTTAAAGGGTTACTCCACCTCAAAATTAAAATTTTGTCATTAATCACTTACCCTCATGTCGTTCCAAACCCGTAAAAGCTTTGTTCGTCTTCAGAACACAATTTAAGATATTTTGGATGAAAACCGGGAGGTTTGTGACTGTCCCATTGCCTGCCAAGTAAATAAAACTGTCAAGGCCCAGAAAAGTATGAAAAGCATCGTCAGAATACTCCATCTGCCATCAGTGGTTCAATCTGAATTTCATGAAGCGACGAGAATACTCTGTACATGAAGAAAACAAAAATAACAACTTTATTCAACAATTCGTGTCCTCAATGACCTGGTTGGTCTTTGCCTCCAACACACCTATCTATTGTCGTCATGTGTGCGGAGTTTAATTGTTGAATGTTATTGAATGAAATCTCTTATGATCAACAAGGCTGTTTTCTGTTTTAATTAGTGCTGTCAAACGATTAATCGCATCCAAAATAAAGGTTTTTGTTTACATAATATATGTGTGTGTACTGTGCACATTTATTATGTATATATAAATATACTGCTTATATACATTCAATTTTTTAATTAAATTAAATGTATGCATTTAGCAGACGCCAAAGCGACTTACAGTGCATTCAGGCGATACATTTTTTTATCAGTATGTGTGTTTTCTGGGAATTGAACCCACAACCTTTGCGCTGCTAACGCAATGCTCTATGACTGAGCCACAGGAACT